ACTTTTCTCCTTCTTGAAAAATAGCAGCCCCCATTGGCTGCATTTGAAAAGGAAAAGAAAACAATCCTTTAAAAGGTTCATGGAAATCAATACATTTTGTAGTTCTAGAGGGCTTCACAGACCACTGAAATGGAATGCCCAGTGTTTGGACCACCAAAAGAGCTGCCCAAGTAGCATGAAATGTAAGAATGCCAAATTATACAAAACTGTCTTGGCTTGTATATCCTAAAAGTTGCAAGATAGCTCAAGAAATTAGTAATACTTCATCCCCACTAATCCATGCCCAGTGCCCTCACGGGAGAACATCACTATGGGGAATACACCACCTTATGCTGACATTATTTTCTTAATCACGCTTCATCCACTTACATAAGAAACCAAAGTATACTTTTAAAAAAGATGCAAAGTTATTGATCTTTCTGTAGCTGAACTCTGATGACAAAAAGCTGAGTGTAATTCAACTGAACTTCTTTAGTAATATTGATCTCAGAACAACACTTTGTATGCTAGATTTTACCCCCTGCTTGGAAATATCTGGTATTAGAGAGAAGTCATCTTCAAGTGACTTATATATAAAGCCCAAATTATTTAACTAAAGGCATGTCCATCTCCCTCAAGATACAAATTGGGCAAAGAGAGGGATAATAGAGGTAGGCCTGGTCTAGTCACGGCAGCAGAACAGGTTGGTAGAATCCTAAGAGGCAGAATTAAACCATACTATTAAAACTGCACCTAGAAGATTGGAATTTTTACTGCTTCTCCATATATAAAACTCCATACAGGTAAAAAACAAAATGAAGGCAACAAACTAGACAGCAGGAAGAAACTTTCTAGCCAGCTGTGCTTTTTGTGTGTGTTTGTTTTACTATTTTTTGGCATGCAATAAGATTATCTTCTACAAAGGCCTTGTCAAACTCAGTCTGCTGCATGGGTAGACCAGGAGCATAACTCCATCCATTCAAGTACTAAAAAATTAGAAGTTATGCACAAATGATGAAATGATGCCCCATATTTAACACTAACAATTATTTCAGATAATTGTAAACAAAAAAATGGTTGTGAAATTCTTTGACCTGTTGCATATGTTGCACATGTCCTCTTATTATGTGCCTCTTCTAAATTATGATATTTAAAAATGTTACCACTTACATCATAGCCAGTGATGGCAATCTGATGCATGGAATCATTAACTGCCTTAAGGATTCCCAAGATTGACATTAATGCCTCTTGAAGATCTTCAGCCCCTTCACAATTTTTGCTGTATTTCAACATTTCCTGGGAAAGAACAATATACACAATCACATGAAGTTCCATGGGAACACAATTATTTTTTTTTAGGTAAGCAACAAGAATGCCGTTATAAAAAACAAAAGTGGAGATATGGGTAGAGCTACAGAGGGTATTTGCAAAGAATGACTTTGGTTCAGCTACTATCTTTTCCTTGCACTCTATCCTGTGCTCAATTCCTGAGTGGAAAACTGGTGTGCCACAGAAAGGCAAAAATGACCAAGAGTGTAAACAACATGGCAAATTATGAATGTTGTCTAAAGTATAAATTGCAGAAGGGTCTATGGATAACTCTTATTTTTAATGAAAAATTAACTTCATTTCCTTTACCTCACATTATTAAACATTTAGGGCATGATGTAAATTGTGCTGTTCCCACCTTTAGCAACAGTTGATACTTGGTTATTCTTTGAACAGGTTTCAGTAGATAGGAGTCCAGACTCAGCTTGTGGTCAAGTTTTCTCTGACACTCCTATGAAGAAACAAACATGGATACAGAGCTGACAATATTTCTTCGGTGAGATGTACTGAGAAACAAACTAATGCAACACAATAAAGAATACCTGAAAGAAAACGCAGTCTGAAAATTGTCTCCACAGACTTTCAGATCGAGGCTTATTTTGACAATATTTTTCATAAACCTGAAAGTCTTCCATCTGAATTGGAAAGAAAACAACTGTAAGTCCAGGAGTCTTTGCTTTCTAAGATTTACTGTATTTACTCAAAAGGAAAATGACCATGAAGGTAAGACCACAACCCTAAAAAAGGTATACACTTTTTAATTACTTGACATAACTATTACTTGTATGCAAATGCAAGATGTTGCACCCCTCTTTAACAGTATGCCTTAAAAAAAAACCCCTAGTCCTTCATTTGAGTAAATACAGCAGTTAATTACTCTTTTTTTTAAAAAAAACCCTAAGCAGTCAAACCTCAAGAAGTTCAGGAATCAACCTAACAGATTAAAGCATGTGCGTTCGTTCTTCCACCATTGTGCTTCCCTTAGGTAAAAATCTTTCAAAGGGCTATGACAGAACAATATTAGCTGTAAAATGCATCTCAACAAAAATGAAATTTAGCTGGATACATTCTCTACTATTCTTCCCCAGCCTCTTTGAGCCTGCAGGTACTTTTGGAATCCTGACAGAGGGTAGTGGGCACAAGCACAATACGGCTGCCATAGGAGGTGGAGTCAACCACAAAATGACTGCCACAGGCAGAAGCTCTGCTTAACAGGTTGCCTTTTAAAATGAAGAATTTATTTTTTAAAAAATGTCTTGCCTACACATAGCTTACACCTTCAGTTACTCAGTGAAGATCCTTGTGCAAAGGTGGCAGCGGCTGCAAAAAAACATTTTTTTAAAATCTGCTCCGCCCATCAGATCTCCAATGGCCAATCAGAAGCCCAGCTGGGCAAAAGTCCCATTTGGTCCTGCCCGCTTTCTAAAACAACACTTGGCAGCACTAGGAAAGGTGCTGGCATTTGCTATGGTGTCCATGGGGCATGACGCTGGGGACCCCTGTAGCAGCTAGCAGCTCTTTAAATTCTGCCCTGACCTGGTTAGCCCAGGCTAGCTCGATATCATCAGATGTTGCAAGCTAAGCAGGGTTGGCCCTGGCTAGTATTTGGATTGGAAACCTCCAAGAAACAGCAGGGTTGTGACACGGAGACAGGCAATGGCAAACCACCTCTGAACATCTCTTGCCTTGAAAACCCCACAAAGTCACCATAAGTCACCTGTGACTTGAGGGTGCTTTCCACCACCTTTAAAATCTAAGTTATAATATCCACCAAATAAATATCAATATCTGACAAGATGTAGACGTTCAACACAATTAAGCCAGTTCACAACAGCTGAGGTAGAAGTTTTTGAATTACTCAAGTTACCATTGTGCCCTCATGAGAAGAAAATTATATCACCTATAGCTGATCTGTTATAAGGCATTTTGTATAACCGAGCTATCACAAGACAAATACAGCAATTTATGTGATCAGCACAGCAATGTATGCACATTTTTAATCCAGCCTCAGACATGTAAATCAGTCCTACTGGAATCAACAGAAATGTTTTTATTAGTGTGAGAGTCCAGAAATGTGCTTACAGATATGCAATACTCTCTTGGGACTAGAATATTTAGGGGACAGAATTTAGTAAAACAGTTCTGCTCTGGTTTTTCTAAAATTAAGTTGTGTGCACAAATGGATTCTATTACAGGAGTTATTCAAATTGTGTAAACCAGTCAAGAATAAACTAAGCTAATTTTAGATTTATGGGTGCTTCTAACCAGGATATAACTTTTTGCTAAAAGTGAGGCTACCACAAAGAAAACCATCTTCCAGTGAAAGATCAACAACAAATATAATTTAGTACTGAATAACATTCCCTTTTTCTTTGTACTACTTACCCTTTCAAGGAAACACCTTCCTACCAATTCTGGATATTCTATGTAGTTTTCTAGTTCTCGCAAAAATATTCTATAAAAAAAAATTTGTATTTGAAAATGCAATGAAATAGCCTAAAACCTCTACAACATGTACCCATAATAATGTATTTTCTAATTTCAAGAAGCAGGGAGCTGTAATATACATCTATAAAACCAGACAAATATGCTTAAAAAGTATTGACCAACAAAGCTTTCTATTGCCTTTTCTATTTTCCAGACAAACTGCATATTTAATACAGTGGCCACTGGACAGAAAACACCTAACCGGAATCACTTTTGGGCTGCATTCAGACTTTCAACCAATATTAAACCTGTTAATGGCCTTGTGCATGGAATCAGGTGCAACCCCTTCTTGCCGAGTCCCCCCGGGGGGCGGGGAAACCCCTGCCCCAGAGGCCCATTCCCCGCCGCCGGTGGATCGGGCCCCGGGGGGAACCCCACCCCGACGTGCACGTCACCCGGAAGTGACGTGGATGCGGCGCGCACTTTGTGCGCACTCCAGCCGCCAGCCGGGAGTCCCCCGCTGCAGCGAAATTCAGACTTGGCAACCCTGCTTCTCACACAAAATCCCAGTTAGAAACTAATTCCAGTCACCTATGACAGATGATTATGAACTGGAGCTGGTTTCCCCTCCCACCCCAAATTAGAATCCCAAACCAAGTCCAGTTTTACTACGGTAAACTAACTCAAGTGAGACTGCACACATCATGGGTACCTAGAGTTACTTTCTAACCAAGATTTTCCATGAGAGAAGGGAGGGGTGAGTAAACGTGGTCACCATCCATGTTAATGTATATTGATTACAGGTTTATGGTAATATTGCTTAGAAGTGACCACTGAATAGAGCCATGATGTTATTACTTTACAAATGTTTCTGGGATTATTTTTTTACACAAACAGAATGTAAATGCTAAGGGAACAAATTCTGCCAGAATGCAAAATTCCCCTTTCCTCACTGGTTTCAATGGAACAAAGGTAAGTTTAAGCGCAGTGAAAGTGCTTATCTTTGGTTGGATAATACCATAAACATTTTTGTGTCATAGTGGCTTTAAAGCATGAGTTATATACTAGAATTTTCTCTCTCAAATATTACATCAGCTATGAACTCATGGGAGTGAACTGATGCAAGCCACTTTTCACAGCAATGGTCTTTCATGTACAACATGGGACTGAGACCACGATTAACAATAATAGCTTTGAAAAGGTCAGTTTCTGCCAGTGGAAAGCACAAATCCTAACCTGTTGTGAAAGTGATAGATTTCTTCCATATTTCCAAACAAAACATCTTTCTTATTCTGTAGCCCTGGTGAAATAAGATGTGCCATTAAAGGGTTGTCCATTTCTGCAGCGTACCCCTGTGATACAAAAAGGGAACAAAATTTATGGCCCATATGCATCTACAGTGTCACTCTCTCTTTCAGCAAGTCCAGACTGCTCAAAGCTGATAAGCACACAGCAGTATCTCAATATCAGCTATAAAATTCTAGAGCACCAGCCCAACTCTGTACAAATATATCTACTGCTTGCAAACAGTACATTCCAGTTCAAGAAAGGAAGGCAGCTTCTGAAATCAAGCATGTTTCTGAACTATTTATCCACATACATGTTGTAGCTATTTATACACTACTCACACAGCTGCTAATTCCAAAGTTGACAACAATTACTTCAGAACCTCATATCATGACCTTTCAAGACAATTGTTCTTGCTTCTTCCTTCCTGGAACAAGTTCCTGTTTATGACATCTGCTGGAAGCAACAAAACCAGGGCCTAATCTTTAGCATTTCCAGACAGCAAGGAAGGCCTGGTTTTAATCTGCATTTCCAGCTAGAGTGTTCCTCCTCAGGCACAACTAAAGGAGGTTTTCAGTTTGGCTGCATCATATAAAGTACCCAGCTCAGAAAGGGAAACAATACCAAAGTCGCTTCAGGCAATTTCTAATTTCCCCTCTTCTTAGAGGAGTTAGTTCAAGTTTGGAGCACATTTTAATTCTGTCATCATCAGGATCTTTGCTCCAGTAACACTCTTTACTCTGATGAGGACCATTATGTTGCAGCTATCAGAAATATGGAGCAGAGGCGCACAATGTGATGCCCCAATCTCCTGGATGCAGGGGTCCCCAACGCGATGCCTGTGCGCGCAGGGCTCTTTTTGTAGCAGGAACTCCTTTGCATATTAGGCAACACACCCCTAACGTAGCCAATCCTCCAAGAGCTTACAGAACTCTTCTTACAGGGGCTACTGTAAGCTCTTGGAGGATTGGCTACATTAGGGGTGTGTTGCCTAATATGCAAAGGAGTTCCTGCTACAAAAAGAGCCCTGCGTGGGTGCCGTGTTGCCCACTGACACCTGTGCCCGCCAAATGTTTTTAGGAAGTTAGTGGGGGGGTATGGCTTTTGCCCAGCAAGGCTTCTGATCGACTACTGGAGATTTGATTGGCTGTAAAGATTTTTAAAAATGTTCCTTTGGCAGCATCTGCCATCACAACACAAGGATCTTCACCGTATGACTGAAGGTATGTTGTGGCAGCCATTTTGTGGCTGGCTCTGCCTCCTGTGGCAGCCATTTTGTTGCTGTGCCCACCATGCTGTGTCAGAATTCCAAATATGTCCATAGGCAGAAAAAGGTTGGGAACCCCTGTCCTAATGAGCAATTCCAAATGTTGTGGCAGGAAGTGTGTGTGTGTGTGATCACTCTTCATGGGAAGGCTGTTTTCAAGGGTATCTTCTCAGCAAAGGTAGCATATACTCCAACCCTCAGAAGTTCAATGTATGGCTGTTTGGAAGATCTTGCTAGCAGAAGCTAAATATCATCTGGGCTGAGTTTTTCCCCATCCTCTGGTTACAGGTACTTATCCTGGGCATGGCCAAAGCACAAGCCAAAAGGCTTTTGGTCCATGGTGTGCAACCTAGAACCATGGTGTGCAACCAGTGAAGGGATAGCTAGCCCAGTGAATCAGGACCTGCCTACAATGTCTCTGTTTTCTTTACTGCATTTAAATTGGTTGTTCTGTATGACGGAAGTTTCTGTAAGCTGCTTTAAGGAGAAAAGCAGCACAGAAATGGCCGAATGAACAAACATTTTACAACGACCACCTAATGAGCATGCACATTATCTCACAAACACATATTTGGACTGTCTATCTCACAAACACATATTTGGACTGTTCTGCAGGACTAAATCAAACATTATTAACACATATAGCAAGGCTACAGAATCAAATACCTACTTCAAGAACACACAGAAGTTCTTCCACGTAAGCTCTTTCAGTTTCAATAAGTTCATTAATTACATGTCTGTGAATATAAGGAATAAATTAGAAGTGCATCTTTTAGACTGCTGGACACTGGATACTGATAAAGACTACTGTGTACAAAGAAACTGTGCCTGCCATGTCTCCAAGAATTATTCACATTAAAACATCTTCAGTCATATTTTATCAAACATAACAGTGAAGCCAAATGATATGCTTTTAAATTATTTGCTTTTCTTTCCCCAAGTCACAAAGGGATTAATGCAACGGAACAGGAAGATTTTATGGTCATTTCCTGCTACATAACACATTTGAGTTTTATACTGACAACTCATTCAATTTTTTAATGGTAGAAGAATACTTTGTTCTGTACTAAATGCTTACATAACATAACTGTAATCACTGTCAAAATCTCTAGTGTGATAATTCTACAGTATAGATCCAGTTGGTCAGCCATGTTGGTCTGAAGCAGTACGACAAATTCAGAGTCCAGCGGCACCTTTAAGACCAACAAAGGTTTATTCAAGGTATGGGCTTTCGTGTGCACGCACACTTTATCAAATACGTTACAATGACAGGCAAGGTTCATTCTCTGGCTATAACTCTACAGTATGATTGTGTTTTGTACGAGACGCTGTACTCACTTTCGTAACACAGCTAGATTTTCATCATCATCCATTACTGATCCGCCTCTGGTTTGATGGATTTCACTCATTTCACTCTGAAGAGAGAAAAAAAGGTTAACAGCTCTACATCGAATCTTAGATCAGTCTGCAATTCTTCTGCCTTGTTTAGGCAGCTTCGTTTTTTCTGCCCCAGTCCAGTTCATTACTGACTTCAGATAATAATTCAGATCTTCCACGGCTTCTTCAGGACAGAAGTGGGGGAAATTGATGTCATCTGCGTATCGGTGACATCATCAAATCTCTGGACAATATCAACCAGATATTTTATGTATGCATTAAACAGCACTGAGGACAAGGGGGATCCCTGCAACATCTTACAAACCAAAGGGTGGAGCATCAACCTCACAACTGCTACAAAACAGAGCTACCCAATCTCAGCCCATCCAGACAGAGCAGAAGGGTACCCTGGTCAATGATATTGAACACTGTTAAATAGTCTGAAATAACAGAGTTGTAATCTTGTGCCCTGGGCAGAGGTCATACATCAGAGTTATACAAGCTAGCAACACCACTCTCTGCATTTTGTTGAAGTTAAATTTCAAGGAATATGTTTAGGTGTAGAAACGTATGATTATACACCTAGAAACATATGTTGTTGTTGTTGTTGTTCAGTCGCACAGTCAAGTCCGACTCTTTGCGACCCCATGGACCACATCACGCCAGGCCCACCTGTCTTCAGTCGTGCTCCGGAGTTTGTTTAATTTCATGTTCATTGCATTGGTAACACTGTCTAACCATCTCATCCTTTGCCGTCCCCTTCTTCTTTTGCCTTCAATCTTTCCCAGCATCAGGGTCTTCTCCAATGAGTGCTCCCTCCTCATTTGGTGACCAAAGTATTTGAGCTTCAGCTTCAGTATCTGGCCTTCCAGGGAACAATCAGCATTGATTTCTTTTAGGATTGGCTGATTCTATCTCCTTGCAGTCCAAGGGACTCTCAAGAGTCTTCTCCAGCACCATAATTCAAAAGAATCTATTGTTCGGCGCTCAGCCTTCCTTATAGTCCAACTCTCGCAGCCATACATGACTACTAGGAATACCATTGCTTTGACCATACAGACTTTTGTTGGCAGGGTGATGTCTCTATTTTTTATTATGCTGTCTAGGTTTGCCATCGCTTTCCTCCCAAGGAGCAGGCGTCTTTTAATTTCATGGCTGGGGGTCTGCAGTGATCTTGGATCCCAGGAACATGAAGTCTGTTCCCCTTCTGTTTGCCAAGGAATGTCCATGATCTTAGTTTTGTTTTGATGTTGAGTTTCAAGCCAACTTTTGCACTCTCCTCTTTCACCCTCAGCAAGTTTCAAAATCCATACAAAATCAAGGACATTATACCAGTTCCGTTTCCACAAGCATATATTTAAAAAAATAAAAACAAAACCACCAACAAAGGAGAACTGGAAAGTAAGAACTATAATAATAAATCACACACCTTGGCTCTTCTGTAGTTCCCTCTCCGGATCATGTGATTTTCTGGGCTGGATGAGTCTTCAGATTCTCTTTGAAGGCCTGGCATATGAAATAGAATCCAACAGCTTAAACTGGAACATGTCTCAGCTCACATTTACAGCCAAACTCACAAGATGAACTATCTTATTTGCTGTTAAATAAACCCAGTTTGTAAGCCCACTACACTTTCTTACCTGGAGACGTACACTGTGATTTTACAAAGACCTCTGGCCTAGGTGCCACTGGCTGAACTGGACGCATTTGCTTTGCGGCCAGTTTCTTAAGACTGACTTGTCTCTTCTGAAACATTTCTTCCATGCTCTCCTGCTTCTGAAATACTTTTTGCACATGCTCCTGTAGAAAAACCCAAAGTGTTATCATCGTTTTTTAAAAAAACAACAACCTGTCAACATACACCATGCATCCATTTATATACTTTAAATTTTTTCAGTAGCATATCTCTTTATGCATACAAGACAACAGCAGTCTTCAAATAAAAAATGCCCCAGAGAAAGTCCCCCACCAAATGTCTCTGTTCATGAATATCAATATTAAACTATGGTATCAGTACACAAATATTACCATTAATTCTTGGTTAAGGATGGCGTCATAATCTTTGTACAAGTAATTCAGCTCCTTGAGCTTATTGCCTGCGCCAGTGTCCAAAAAATTCTCTATCTCCTGTAGAGCTGATTCTGCTCCGTCTTGGGACTGGCATTTATCTACAAGTTGGGAAGCCAGCAGGTAAATTCCTTCATCGCACCACTTCATGGACTACAGATATACAGAGGAGGCAGAAAGAAACACACATGAACACATATGAAACTGCCTTATACTGAATCAGACCATCGGTCCATCAAAGTCATTATTGTCTACTCAGACTGGCATCAGCTCTCTAGGGTTTCAGGCAGAGATCTTCCACTTCACCTACTGCCTGGTCCTTTATACCGGAGATGCCATGGACTGAACCTGCAACCTTCTGCATGCCAAGCAGAGACTCTATCACTGAGCCATGGCCCCTCCCCAAACACATCTCAGCACGTGCCCTTAAATGAAGAGATTCAGCAGTCCATTTAAAACAAGGGTTTTTGTCATTTGTCAGTACAGTGACTTATGAGCCTGACTAGAAGATATTCTTGTGTCCTTAAACAAACATGAGAACTCTGAAGTGGCAGAAGGGACTGGAAAGGCAGAATCAGCAGAAACTGATTCTGATCTTCATTGACCCTCCTTGATTCAAAATCACTTTCCTGATTTCTTGGCCATACTATCTTGGTTTCTGCTCCTCTCTCCACATCTGCCTTGTCTATCTGGGCAGCCTTCTGGGAACTGAGTGATCTTGGCCTGTCTCTCTGACCAATAACTTTGCTTCATGTCTTAGTTAGATTTTTCAGCCCATTCTTATAGGTCCCCTTCATTCCCTACCAGTAAGCAACAGTAAGCATGCACACGCAAGCTTATGCCCAGAATTAAACTTTGTTGGTCTTAAAGGTGCCACTGGACTCAAACTTTGTTCTATGGTTTCAGACCAACACAGCTACCTACCTGAAAGTAAGCAACAGTGATAGCTCCAGGTAGATATACCACACACACCTACAATGTTATTAGGAAATAAGAGAAGAAACAGTATGACTAGGTTTACCTTCTCCAGCTGGCTATGTAAATCATGTGACTGGTTCAAGAGAGCCCTTTTGTTGTCCCTTTCAACAGTAATCATTTCACAGTGATGTTGAAGTTCATTGCACTTTGGGAGAATAGAGTCCACAGCATAATGATTGTTTTGTATTAAATCTCCACCTTCAGAAATTAGCATATTTGCCTTTTCTAAAACATCCTAAGAAAAGAAGTCATTGGTGAGACACGAAAATATAAGTTGTGACAATACCTTTTTATAAATTCTGCTCAGTGAAAAATATGCACTAAACATAAATTTATAATCCTTACATGTAACTTTTCTTCAAAAAGGGAAAGTTCTTTTAGAATGTGTTCCACGTGCGAACAGCTATTTCCCACTTCTGTGAAACTAGATAGCCTCTCAGATGCAATATTTAGTGCTGCTTTAACCTAAAATGAAAGACAGGTACATATAAATAAAAGCCTGAGAAAACAGTTATGACAGAACAAAAGGTTCCTTGTACCATCATGAATCATCAACTTAGTAAGAGGATCCTAGTTCTGTTAGTCAATAAACCAGATCCTGCAGACTTCTCAATCACTGATTCTAAGAACTGTGAACACAGTACAGACCAAAAGAAATTAATTACCTCCCCTCTTCCAACAAGAACCCACCAAAAGGCACTACTAAATAGCAGTTGACCATCAGGAATGGCAAGATGCAGCAGGAAGGGTCAAAGAGGCTTCTGTGCAAATGGAGAAAGAAATGGTACAAGAAGCTGGACAATGTCTCCCTTTCAGCTGCGATCCTCTACAACGCATTTAGGGTTACCAAGTACCTACCGCGAATCGGTGGCGGACACACGGTCCCTGGCCGGAACATTCCTCCCTGTAACACACCCACGCTGTACCATGCCATCACCAGGAAGTGACGCCGAGTGACGCTCTGGCAATGGGGCTAGAAACTTGATGGTACTATCAAGTTTCCAACCCCATTGCCAGAGCGTCGCCCAGCGTCACTTCCTGGTGATGGCATGGTGCGGTGTGTCTGTTTTCCACACAGGAATGGTCCTGAGAAGAAGTATGTGTCCCCCGCCGATTCTCGGTAAGTACTTGGTAAGCCTAAATGCATTCCATGTTATTCCTCACAGTCCCCTGACCCTTCATGGTAGGTGAGAGCACACTCCAGGTGCATGACAGACAAATAAAAGATCCTCCTTTCTTACATTAACCTTATTTATTTATTTATTATATTTGTATCTCGCCCTCCCCTCCTTACTTTCCTTTAGGCCCCAGGCTAAAATATTTATTTTTATCCTGATTTTTAATTGAAAGTATATTTTAAAAAAGTGTTTATGGTCTGCTTCTAGCTGAGGACTTCCTATGAACATTGTTTTAAGCAGCTGATATTGTTTCTAGGCACTTGCTGTTCTTGTGCTAGTTTTTAATGGCTACCTTTTATGCAACAGTTATATAATTTTATTGTAACAATTTATTTTATGAGTTGGTTTGAGCAGCTTTCTAGAGAGGCAGTGTTATCAGTTGTCTAAATAAAACAATAATGGTAAATAATAAAATGTCTGTGAGGAGTGCCCACTGAAGAAATTTTCCTATATGACTCTCAGAGTTTTGTTTTTTTTAAAGAACAGCAGTCACAGACTGCATCTTCTGCACCTTTGAGAAGTGATTTAGCTCAGCTACTTCTGGAAAGGATTATTTCAGTAGTCTTTAAGTATCAATATTTTATCTGTATATTTCAGATTGTATTTCACCAATTATGAACTTTTCATACTTGCACCTTATCCATTATATTGTCATTAATATTATGCATTGTACATTTTGACTTGTTATTCATTGTGGTTTACTCTGTTGGCATATTTAGTTTATATGACCACAAACACAGGGTTGAATCCATAGTCCATTCCCTGCCAGTGGAACTCAGCCTGGAGTGGCATGCCTTCTTTCCCACTGCAACTCAGTGAAGTCTCCAAATTCCCCTAGGGAACAGGGGACTTTCAGCATGGGGGGTGGGGCCTGCTATTAGAGGGATTAATCAGCGAAAATTGCTCTCTCTTCTTCTGGCAGAAAGAAACCTTCTTTTTCACAACACTACATAAGGCAAATTGAATGGAAGAGGAGATAGGCAAAAGAGCAAGAAGTAGAACAAGCAATGTAAGTGCTAAAGTTAACAAGACTAAAGGATCATACATATATTTTTTAAAAGATCACCTCCTTGTAATGCAATTCAAAATGCCTAAGTTGTAAGCACTGCTCAAGCTTCTGTTGGTGTTTAGACCAAAAATCATCAAAGGCTGTTTCTGTTTCATCCAGCTGAGCTAGAAGCCTAAAAAGAGAATACATATAAGACAAAAACATATCCAGCATACTGTACATAGAATAGACTGCTCTCTTCATTTTGGAAATCAAACTCATCATTTAAATGGAAATAAATGTGACTTGCAAGATAAATGGGGAAAAACAAGTGACTATTATTGTATGGCATTATTAGTTGTAACTTTTTCTTTAATGGAACAGTATGTTCTGTAAAAGATTACTATTCCTAACAAATCTACTTACAATTTGAAGTAGAAGGAAGGGCAACATCCCCGTGCTAATAGTGTTGTGTCCGCGGACGGCCACTGGGTGCCCACGATACAGTGGAGCTTGAGTCCGGAGAACAATGGGGACCAGGCTCCTGCACCCTGCCACTAGGGGAACCAATGGGACATTGGCGGGAGGTTTGAATGGGCCAATGGGAGGTTCCTCAGACTGTATATAAGTGGCCGGTCGGCCGTTGGTGTGTGCATGTTGTGTACTAGTAAAGTGTGCAGTGTATCATGCGTGCCTCAGCAATTCTTCCATGCGGCTAACCCACTACACAACAAATAGTGACCATAAAATACTACAATATGTTGGGCTAGAAAGACTGCTGATCTAACTCAGCATATGCCAGATCGTTTTAATATACAGGTTTGATATTTGGCCAGCTTAAGGCAAAGAACATGACAAAAGCACCAACTGCTGGACCATGCTAGGGAGAACCTCCTTACTCAGTAGTATTACAGAGGACAATTCACAGTAGCCCTTGGTTTGGAGAGAGGATAGAGCATAAAGAAGGTGCCAGGTTCTATCCTAGGATCTCTGATTAAATGGGTGAGGTAGCAGGTGATGTGAAAGACCTCTAGCTGAGACTCTGGAGAGACACCGCCAGTCAAAGTTGACAATACGGACCTGGACAGAGCAATGATCTAGTTCACTGTAAGACAGCTTCAGGCATTCATGTGTGTTCAAGTATGACTGCAGCAGTCTAAAGCAACACCCCCAGCCTTACCTGGGGCCCTGTTTGTGGGCCTGTGCGGGGGTGGGGGGAGAAAGTTGTGGTTAGGTGCCTTAGGGAGAGAGTTCCTCTGGTCTACCTGGCCAGGATTAAAGTGCCCTACCATGCCTCTGGCCACAGTTGGCCTCCAGCTTTCACCCACTACACTCCTCTGTCTACACTATGGCATACGTAAGTTCATTTAGTTGATGGGTGGTTGTTTTCTACTGCAGTGTCATGTTCATTTTTTAAAAAATTCAATTTAATAATAAAACAAACAAATAAAATATAATACACTATTACAGGAGATATAGATTTAACAATCATGCAAAAAGGAACCTATATTTGGAGGGGATCTCCCTGCCTTTATGACATTTCATTCCCTCCAAATAAGAAATAAGAGGCATCCACTTGTCCAAAAAGTGAGATAATTTAGAATCTGAATCTGTAGGGTTAACTATTAAAGAGATCTTCTCCATAACCGTAAGATCCCAAGTTTTAACCTTACACAATGTTAAAGATAGAAGTTTATCCTTCTTCCAGTTTGTTGCAATACACAAATGTGCTGTCGTCAATAAAGCTGAAATGAGCTTACGCTTCAGTGTATCAGTATCCTTACAAGAAGGTAAAACCAATAATAGCCATTTGGGATCTAGCTTTGACTTTGCGTTACAGATCTTATGAATCACCATACGTACTTTGCTTTAAAACCCTTGAATGTCTGGGCATTGCCACCAACAATGTTTATATTTTCTCCAAGAGACATATGGAGTCTTTCTACAGAAATGATGCAACATTTGTGGGGTAAAATACCATCTCGACCAAAGTTTGAATGATAAAGTTTGAATATTTAATGCCTCTGAGGTGACCTCATGCCAGTCATTCTCAGTTAAGGAAACCTCAAGGTCTCTTTCCCATATATTCATAGCTGTTACCCTATTCTTATGAATGGTTTCGGTTAACGTAAGAGTACAGTTTTGAGATAATGCCTTTATCTGTCAGATCAGGGGCAAGTACCGATTTTTCAAATGCAGTATCTTTGCTTGCATTGCCACAACTGTGTTTTGCCAGTGTCAGAACTGAGCTGAATGAAATGGGGGGGGGGGGGACACAGCTTGCATGCCTGTTTCCCCCATCTTTGGGGATCCTTTTAAAGGATTTTGGGGTGAGGGCTTCCTGGGGACACACCCAGTTCAGGAGCTGTCGGGGCAACCTCACTCTCAAGTGATCAGGGAAATGACATAGTGGTTTATGCCCATGTGGAGTCCCATGTCCTGCCATTCTGCAGTATCCTCCAGAAGGTGGGCTGGGGGTGTTTGGTGTCCACTGGGTGGCAGCCAATGCCTGGATTCTTTGCCCTATGCTGCACCCAGGTTGTAGCCAATAAAGCTGTGGCCATTTCAACTCCATCAATATGTCTGTAGTTTGTTTGCCTTCCCCTTCGGCTCTGGGTTCACAAACATCTATGAAGACTGGTCTGTAGGTTAAAAATGTAATAGACAGCTAAAAATATTCAGTGGTCACGGCATGCAAGCTGATCCACATCAGGGATTGAAGGAGCTACGGGATCTTTCTTGCTGACTAGTGCAATTGCAGCTGTTGTCAAGGTGTTGGTATCAGCACTCTTATGTTATTCATTACCAAGGGTTCTTTTTGTAAAAAATAAGGTGCAGGAGCTCATTAGCATAACTTATTTGCATATGCCACACCTCCTGACATCACCGGAAGTGTGTCAGAAGGCAACACACACCGCTCAGGCTCCACTGGACTGTTTTGGATTGCTAGCTATTGGGGGGGGGGGACATGCAGAACTGCCCTTGCAGAGGAGGGAGAGCTTGTACCTGAATAAAACTTGGTCTTAAAGGTGCCACTGGATTGTTTTGGACCAGGGGGCTCTGCAACTTACCTGGTTGCTTCTTGCTCTGACTGAGGGCTGCTGGGAGCAGGGGGTGGGGCTTGTTGCATGTGCCTGCCCCCTGGGCTCTTTACTGCTGGAGCTCCGCTCCTGTGCGCTCCTGCAGGAAATGACCCCTGTTCATTGCCATTCCTATATCATCCCTTAACCTTATGTCATTATGTGCAGCCACAGTGTACAGTGCAGACCTAGAATTTTGATTGTTTTGCCTAAAGGGAAGCATCAAGGATAAACGGATGAAACTTTCCAGAGGGTACCAACATGGGAATATTCCAGCTGACCTCCTGGCTACAATTTAGCATTAGGTTTTATTTTAGGGAAGGTGTACAATATGATCTGTATAATAAACAGTAGATTTACCTCACCTTTCCACAGTGATTTGATTTTCAAGTTGATCTGGATTCATTTTGTACTCTGGGTTTTCAAGAACTGGTCTTTTAATACTTTTGAGAATGTCATCACCTTGTATTAATGCTATCCTGAGATCCTCCTGTAGAAAATTTAAAAGGCCACTGTTAAGATATATTTTTACTAGGATGTAACCCAGACCATTCTGTGAAATATGAGATTAGAGTAGTTCATGACAGAATTTTCAAAGTTATAGAAATCATGACAGTACCTTCTAAGTCATGGAAATCAAATTTTAATAAAGGAAATGGACATCATAATCTCTGCTTTGCTCTCCCTAGCCATCTTTATGAGTGGATCTGAGTAGGAAGAGCCTGAGTTGCAGCTACCACCACTGATGCCACTGCATACACTGGGGGTTTTCAGAGATTCCAGACCTGAAGTGGTTCGAGACATCAGAATCTCTTTTAGATACCATGGAACATCATCTCAAGAGCTCGGTCAAGTCTCAGAAACTTTGCTCCTTGCTAGCTGTGCCTTGCTTTTTCTAAACCAGCCTGAGTTTTGCCTGATATCCTGATATTCCCTGCAGTATCTGCTTCAGCTTCATACTAGAACAGTGTAAGTATATCTTGAATATTGTCAGAGACAAAAAAAAGAAAAGTAAATTTTAAAAAGTAAAGCAACTAACAAGAATTTGATGTAACAAATCAGATACTAAATGCAGTTGAAACTGCCAATAAACTACTATACTTTTCCTTATTCTAGACTCAATGAACTTCCACTTTCTGTAGTGGTCCTACATACAGCTTGAAACATTTTCATAAAGTCTTTAACAACTACTTCATAATATTTAAAGGAAGATTCCGCAGACAAACTTTTCTAATAAATAATCCAGACACTGGGACAGGTAACGATATGGAAAACAGAACAATGGCCCACAGACTGCAAACACTCAGTCTACATTCCAATTCTGAAAAAAGGAGATGTCAAAAACTGCAGCAACTATTGGACCATCACATTAATTTCTTATGCAAGTAAAGTGATGCTCAAAAAATTAAAAACAAAGACTGTTACCAGATGTTTAAGCTAGGTTCAGAATAGGAAGATGGACTGGAGATCATATTGCAAATTTACATTGGTTACTGGAGCATATAAGAGAATTTCAGAAGAAAATCAACTTGTGTTTTATAGATTAAAGCAAAGCTTTTGACTGTGTGGATCATGAAAAGCCACAACATAGTTTTGATGAACTACCTGTACTCTGGACAAGAGGCTACTGTTAGGACAAAATATGGAGAAACGGAATTGGCAAAGGTGTCAGACAAGGATGCACTTTATCTCCCTATCTCTTCAATCTATATGCAGAACACATAATAAGGAAAACTGGATTTGATTTAGATGAAGTTGGAGTGAAAACTGATGGGAAGAACATTAACAATTTTTGATATACAGATGACACCACATTACTGGCAGAAAATAGTGAAGACTTGAAACAACTAGTGAAAAAGGTTGAAGAAGAAAGTGCCAATTAGGATTACATCTGAATGTCAAGAAGATGAAAGAAATTACTACTGTTGACAATGAAGAAATCGAAATTATTCAAGATTTTCTATTTCTTGGCTCCATCATCAACCAAAAGGAAGACTGCAATCAAGAAATCAGAATGAGATTGAGACTGGGAAGGGGAGCCATGAAGGTGCTAGAAAAGATTCTTAAGCATAGAGATGTGTTGCTGGAGACCAATAAAAGTTGGACAATGAGGAAACCCAACAGAAAAAAAATTGATTTGTTTGAAATGCGGTGCTGGAGAAGTGTTTTATAGATACCATGGACCACCAAAAAGACAAATAACTAGGTTCTAGATCAAATCAAGCCTGAAACTATCCCTAGAAGCGAAAATGACTAAACTGAGGCTATTGTAGTTTGGTTACATTATGAAATGACAAGAGTCACTGGAAAAGACAAGCATGCTGGGAAAAGTCGAAGGCAGCAGGAAAAGAGGAAGACCCAACATGAGATGGATTTTTTCAGCAAAGGAACCCATGGCCCTCATTTTGCAAGACTTGAGCAAGGCTGTTAATGACAGGATGTTTTTGGAGGTCATTAATTCATAGGGTCATCATAAATTAGAAGTGATGTAACGACAATTAACACACATGTGCATGTGCAGTTTTTCAAAGTAAAGATATTGTGGGGAAAGGACAAGATGTAAATAAATGAAAACAAGAGATACTATAACACAAATAAACTTGTTATAAAACTGTTATAAACTTGTTATAAAACAAACTTCTATCATTATGATTTTTCTAGATTTTAAAATTTGGAAAGTTTCCTTTTGGGCTTTATACATGGTGGGTTGCATCAGATAACTGTCTTCTGTTAAGTCTTTGTTCAAGGAAAATACTTCTTCCAGTGTAGAATGACTTTTTTGATGGAAAAAAAAACTCTTTGTTGAAGAAAGTCTTCCCCTGTTGGAGGAAGACATGGTGGAAGAACATCATAGCAGTCAATCCGGTAGGTCTGAACTCAAAAGTTAAACAGTGAGAGAAGACAGCATAGAGTTCAAAATGAGATCAGACATTTAAACCAAAGTTTAAAATGCCTACTGCCCAGGAAAATGCATTCCCATGTCAAAGAGCACTGGAGTTTTCTCAAAATTGGGAACTTTCAATCATACTCTACATGCAAAGGGAGTGAAGCCTGGGTGCAGGCAGGGCAGAAAGCTATGTTAGTGCTAGTTGTGGACAAAGCTCTGCCATTGGGCCATCTCAATAGTCTGATGTACATTCCTAAGTACAGCTTCTCCATATACAGTATAACTAGCATACCTTCATTTTATCCTTTCTTTCAGAGTGTACTGCAAGGAGGGTACTGGTGGACTGCACATCATTTGGTAGTTCTGTTTCTGCCAGCTCAGTTCCAAAGGACCGAAGTGCTTGAGCTGTTTGCTTAACCATTAGAGCAAAGTTTTCTATAGCCTTTTGGAATATGAAAGAAAAATATCACGTCACTTCAAACTCATAATCAAATTAACTTAAAATACATACATGTCTTGAAAATACATCTTACAAACATGACGTACAAGACTTTAAAAAGGCCACTTTAAAGTAAATGTTAAAATGTGTAAATAAAAATACTTTCACCACTTTCAATACAAAACCTTTTTAAAAAATACACACAGTCCTGCTGTTGTATTCTCCATCTTTCAGGAGACATCACAAAAAAGCCCATTAATAACATACTGTAGATATCTAAGCTCTGAAATCACCACTCCCAGATTCATTACTCATGATGATTTTATGAGATGACTAAGTTCCTCTGAGACATCTTCTCATACATGCTATTTCAATTTGCATTCATGTGTCCAAGCTGGTTAGTTATTGGGTATGCAACAGAAGGGCCCATTGATCCAGAGTAGTCAGAAAAAGAATTACTTACAGTGCGATGAGACAGCCACCTGTTGTGGCAGTAATCCAGTGAGCCACCAAGATCCTCTGTAAGCTGTGTTTTGTCAATGTAGCTATTTAATTCTGTTAGTGAGCTCAGCATTATGATCTAACAACACAGAAACATCATTGTGAAACAGATGGAAAAAAATTAAGATGCTACTTCCAGGAGTGACAAAATTTATTTTATTTATTATTAAGATTTATACCCCGCCCTCCCCGCAGAGCGGGCTCAGGGCGGCTTACAAGGGGCAAAGCCCATATAAAACAGATAAAACAATAAAAACATTAATAACAATTAATAACAATTGTACTCAATTTAACACGATGGTCTCCGGATACATGCCAGATGGTAACAGACAGTTCTCCAAGGATGATGTTATCCTATAGCTCAACCAGGTAAATCCAGTGGTATCGGTCACTCAGAAATTGTGGCAGATCTTCCCGGGCCATCCTTAACCCCGATGTTATCCATCTCATTGGTGGTGGTGGAAGTGGTGGCCCCTATGTGAAAGCCTGACGGAAGAGCTCCGTCTTACAGGCCCTGCGGAACTGCATAAGGTCCCGCAGGGCCCTGATCTCCTCCGGGAGCTCGTTTCACCAGGTAGGGGCCACCATTGAAAAAGATCTGGTCCTAGTCATGGCGAGCCTTGCCTCCTGGGGGCCTGGAACCACCAGGCGATGTTGTGGCCCGGACCGAAGTGCTCTTGGGGGTATATATGGGGAAAGGCGGTCCCTCAGGTAAGTCTTTAATTTCTCCTCTCTGAGTTTCAATCATATGGCAGCAGAAGGCATGGCTACAAAGATAGGCTGAAGTACTTTATTAACAGAGCAGTAGATATTCAATATGAATGTTTTACAGTCATTCCCCAGGTGGTAGAAGCAGTCACAGTGCTGCACTTCATGGCTATTGTCACTAAACAGTAACGGAAGTCGGGAGCCAGCATCATGGTGTGACCACTGAGATTCTGTGGAAGCCTAAAGAAGCCTGCGTGTGCATCAGCGGCTGGAAGGACCTGGTTAATACCATCACTTCATGTCCATATAAGCTGTTATAGATCAACGTGCCGTCAAAGAAGCTGTACCAGGCATACCAGGCCCTGGTGCCTTGCTAGTTGCTGTTCAGCAACACCACTTGAGAACCATGCAGGCCCTCCCACCCTGCCTGGTCCCCTCCCATTTAGCAAGATTAAAATGGAGGCACTGAATAGCTTGGAACTCAAAATCTGTGGGCCTTTGCTTTTCTGCTGCATTCCCCTGATCTCCCTCCTCCCCAACGAGAACTCATCAGAAGGGCAAGGGACTGTCTGGATTGGCATTCAGTGTTGAGTTTAGGAGCTAATGCTGGAATGTGGGACAATCAGTAGGAAACAACGTCACATGCCCCCTTCCTCCAAGTGAGCACAAGGGCATTCTGCTCATTCACAGAATGCTGCTGGATCCAAACCTATTGGTCTGCACCATGCAAATATCATAACATGCATGTATTTGAATATAGGTGGAACACTGTTGTTAAAATATACCATGTTTCTGATTTATCTTTTGATTACTGTTTGCTGCCATACTGTCATTTTCCAAATATGACATCCAATGGAACAGAAAGACAAATGGGAGCTTAGAATTTCCAAAACAGACCTGTTTGACAAGCTGAACTGTATGTTTCTTAACTCAAAATCTTAAATCCAGATTCTGAAAACACAACTTTTATGTCAGATGAAATTATGTTTTTTAAAAATAGTCTCAAGTATAGCCGTCATGTCAAAGGTAGCTAACTGCCTATTTTACATTTGACTGCATTTGATGTGCAACCAAGTGGAAACAGATTTAGCTGTCAGCAATTATAACAACAAGCAAAGAGACATTTAGACTTTCAATGAAGATTAATAATGATATTAAGGTAAGTTGTACAAGTTGGGAGCCCATGAGCTGCGGTGGGGGTAGGAAATGCACATTTAGGAAATTCTTCTTCCATAACAGCACGACAAAGCAGGTCTGCTCAGAAGTAATCTAATGTGGATTATTCCCCAGAAATGGTCATTTGGATTGCAGCCACAATATAGGAAGGGGATCTTTTATTTTAACTTCCATTTGCTGCTTTGAATATTTTGCGA